GAACCTCCTCATTGATGCCCCGACTTGTGGATTTTGGTTTTCGGATTTCTATGACACAGATGTTTATTTCTTCATTATAAAAAATGAAATCAGATGCATATGTGAAGCTCTTAAGCTAGAAACTATATGCGTGTTTTTGTACAAATATGTGGGCTCCAGAGGCAGCAAGGAAGAGAAACTAAGGGGAGGAAATCCTTTTATGTTTTCTAATAGCTCCCTAAGTAGTAACAAATTAGTTGCCAAGTATCTTTCTTTGGGTAGTGTGGTAAAGCACTTTGAAGACAGGGAAAATAAGCTTAAATTCTGATTTGTGACAAATTCCTGCCTGACAGTGAGAGAGACTAGAATAAATAGGTAGTTTTACTCTGGACTAAGAAATTTTACGGAGACTGGCTCCTTGACACATTCCCTTTGTAGTGAACACCACTGAGTCATAACGCACAAGGCTTGTTTCCCCTGACTTTTCCCAAAATAAACATGTTTAGCTAAGGCTCCCTTAATCTTTAGTAGTCCTTGCTGATTTAAACAGTGCTTTGGCTTCAAATTTTAATCTTATGCATAGTACTCTTTGGCACTTCTTACCTATTGTTGAGATGGCTGTGCACCCCTAATGATACAGTGACATTACAATGTGAAAATCACATGGTAAACATTGAGTTATGGACACCTTTGGGAAAGCTTGCTAAAACCCAATAATGTAAGGGCAGGTAGTTTGATGTCTTACCTAAATATTTTCTTTCCTCACAGAAATGTAACTTCCACAATGACAGTTCCTTTGAAGGAGTATTTTGGCACCAAATGATTGCTTGCCTCATATCGCTAAGATTAAGTTATTAAACTGCTTAGTCTAGGTTAAAAAGACAGAGCTTTCCTATATGTCAGCAAATATGCATATGTAGATTTCAGACATCTTTATGTCTAAGTCAATTTGAATTACATAGAATTCTAAAATCGGGGTAGTCAAGTTGTTGATTCAGTCATGGATTTCATACCTACAGTAGGGCAAAGGGAAAGACAAAAGTGTCCTTGGAGATTTGAAATAAAAAGATTTGTACCTGTATATGTACATTATATGTAATGTTTTATATATAAAATGTGTGTAGATATATGTGTGCGTTTTATATGTATTTATGTTATCTCCTAAACTGTGAATGTAGAACTTTCTTGTGCATTTGATTTATCTGTATTTCTCTTATGACAATTACTGATAGTTAGTTTTCAGGAATTCATTGGTTATACATTTGAGTTTTAAAATTTTGTTTGGACTATATCCTGTAGAAAGCTCAATTTTTTAAAAAGATTTTATTTATCTGACAGAGAGAGAGAGAGCATAAATAAGGGGGAGCAGCAGAGGGAGAGGGAAAGCAGGCTTCCTGCTGAGCAGGGAGCCAGATGCTGGGCTCCCATCTTGGGACCCTGGGATCATGACCTGAGCTGAAGGCAGAAGCCAGACACTCAATCGACTGGCCACCCAGGTCCCTGAAAGCTCATTTTTTACATACATACACACACATGTAAAGGTTTATATATGTATGTGTGTGTGTTTGTGTTTGTGTGGTTTATTGTACAGCTGAATTGCAAGTACTAGAGTCATTTGAGTGACCTTATGTCTTTTGCAAAAATTTAATATAAATTAGGATGAAAATTAAAATAATTAAGATGAGTGTGTTTAGATCCCTCTCTTTGAGAGCTTGTGTAATAGATGTGATTATAGATATATAGAAAATTCTTAATACTAAACAAGTATTTAAATTTATCAGATTGTCACATGATCCTTCAAGGAATCATACCTTTTAAAACTGAGACACTGTAAACTTTCCCTGTAGGCAAAACTGCCCAGAATCCCAGCTGTTGGCCTTCAGAATAGTTTTCTCTGTGCGGTATAAGTATGCTTATCTCTCAGTTTCTCATCCGCATACCGTTTGGATTATGCTATCTTTTTTTGGCAAAGGGTGCATTCTATGAAAAGGGTCATCATGTTATATTGAGGAAAGGGTGAAAATGGGCATAAATAATCTCTTTATAACCTCAGGTTGGTCCAGAAGAAAAAAAGTGAATCTTGGATCCATTATGTTTGCCTTGATTTGTTCTATCCAAGGTCTCTGAATTTGTTTTCTGATACAAATATCCAATCTATGCTAATAGCTGCTGTCTACATAATTTGCTTCTTTTTCATTTCTGTGGCATATAATTCAACATACCTATTCTGAGATCTGTTGTCCCTAAGGCACAGGAAAGAGTTTGACCTTGTAGCTCCAGGTCTGGAGAAAATACTCCGCACTATTGTTTTTATGATACATATTTAGTTTATTGAGGGGATCTTAAAAATATAAAACAGAAGATACACATGATAGAAATCCTCCTGCACAACTGTCCCTCCCTCCGTTGTCCCTCCCTTCACTTAGCTTTCCTTCTCCCCTCTTTTTTCTTCTACATTTCTCATTTTGTTAATGTTTATGTCTGGATAGTCATTCATTATATACTACCTCTTTTTTGTACCTACCTATTCATCTATTTATTTATGTTCCTTCAGAAATAATTTTACTTTCTCATAAATTCTTATTTGACCCTTGACATAATAGTTCACTTTTTGGTCACAGTTTCTGCTGCTTGTGCAAAAGTATCCATTAGATTATCTTCACTGTCTGGGAACCGCTACCGTCGAAATTACAGTCTAATCAGAAGGTGAACAGCTTATAATGTGTCATGATCAATACTTAGAATTTGCTCCCTAGGTTGTGACATAAAGGAGTCAAGTAAAAAGCTGTAGATTTTCAGCTGTTAAGTGCAAACAATCATTTCATGTTGATGTTTCAAATTCAAGGTCGATTTATACTTTCATACATCTGCATTATTTTGTCTCTTTCACTCTCTTCTTAAATTCATATTGAATTCATGCAGTGCCAGGCTACCCAAATTGCTGAAATTGAAGGCTAGTCAATATTGGAATATAAAACTATGTTAGCATATTTCAAAAAGAATATGTGGATTATAAATAATTTTTTTAAAAGTTGTGACTCTAAAAGACACAGAAGTATTATCAAATGAAACAGTGAAATTTTCTACTGTGTTTTTGGAGGATAAAATTGGTTGAATGAAATGACATACATTTCTTTTCTAACACAGACTGACACAGTTGTAGAGGTTATATTTATGATCCCCATTCAGAATAGGTAAAGAAAACAAATACCTGATGTTAAAATTTTCTGATATGTTTGTTTTTTAAATGTCTCCTTGACTTTAAATCCATACAGGAAGTCTTCCAAGAAAATTTCTATGTCTAGATTTTTCTGCTGCTCTTTATGTCCATCTGCCTAACAATCTTCCAAGGCACAGATAGTATTTGAGTCTCTGGGGTATGAGTGTTTGAGTTCAGTTTGAGACTGCCTTTCACCATTCTTACTTGTAGTGCATAATAAACTGAACATATTTCATTCATTCATCTGTAAATATATTTTTTGAAAACATGACAAAATTAAAAAAGAGGCAAGCTACTTGAAATCATTTTTAACATTTCACAGGTATGAATGACACATGGGATGAAATACCACAGTATTTTTGTTCTGTCAAGACACTATTCTGACTCCTTTCTAAAAAAATTTAATTTCATAAGAAATGATTTTATTCTAAAACCTTTTGAAATAAATCAAGTTGTGATTTATTTTTTTCCTTTTTTGGATAAGGAATTATTTACGTGTTTTAAATATGAACTCAGATTTTATATATGACTTTACAAAGTAACTGTATAAATTTACCAGTGCTGTTAAATTCAGTGCCTTCTATTTTAAATACCTCTCACGTATTTGTGGGCAGTGGCGGGGGGGGTGGTGGTTGTGCCCTGCACAGGACACTATGAATTTGTAGAATCCTCTCACATCAATTAAATGGCTATCCCAAGTGTTCCTAAATGTGTAGGGAATTCTATTCCCATCACACAGAGGTGAATTGTAAATATCCTCTCCTGGAAAAAAAAAAAAAAAAAAAAAAGTCCCTGATTTAAAAAGAACCATTAAACATAAAGGGAAACAATCATTTGTAGATGAAAGGGACAAGTGGAAGATGCAGTTCAAAGTTATAGTTTAAAATATTGGGATGGTGGAATTACGCAGCTGTTGTCATAATGAAGGAATTTTCTTTCATATTTTCTGTTCAGCATCTTTGAAATAGGGATCATTAAAGAATGCTTTATTTAGATTTTCTCTATGCCTATTGGCAAAAGAGAGAAGCAAACATTCTCACAGAAAACATTATCCTTTAAATAGGAAATCATGAGTTGTCATTCATCTGAACTTTATCTGTTGACTATATCCATTTTCACCTACTTACACCAAAAACAAAAAGCTGGAGTGAAGAAAACTGATTATATGATCTATACCCATATCTAATAAAATAGGAATGTGTACTTTTTTGACAAGTTTATTCATAACACATTCTGATAGAAAATTCCATTTTCTCCTCTCAGTAGGAAAAGTAGGCTTTTAAAGGAAACCTTTTATTTCATGACTGTCACCAAAATAACAATTACAAGCAAAATAGGGATAAAACATGGGGTGGGGGGGGGAACAGCAGCTTAGGACTTGGAAGTATGCGATCTAGTTTTCACCCCATTATTTGATTTGAAAAATTGATCCTGGTAATCCTTTTTGAAGTTCACTGTTTCCAGGATGGGTTATACAGAACAAAGACTAACTGATATCCCCAGGAGATTAGTTTACAGTGATGTTCTATTCTACTGAGAATGATTCTCCAATGGCCACTTTTTACTTCTTCCCAGGCTATGGGAATTCATTAATATCTAGAGAAAAGACTTAAATAAAACCATTGTCTCAACCAGCAGGTTTATGCAACCATCCTGAAATGTTTTAATTATTGTTTTCTTTCCCTTTTTAATTAAGAGACCAGAGGTCAAACAAGCCCACTGAGAGCTGATCACAGCCTCAGTAGAAATTTAAAAGCAACCCTAATGATTGGATTTGCTGTTTTCTTTTGTTGTTTTGCAGAACCAGAAGAGTGTGTTAATTGCACAGATGAATGCCGAGTGCTTGGTCATTCTGACAGGTGTTGGATGCCACAGTTCCCTGCAGCCAATCAGGCTGAAAATGCAGATTACCGCACAAATCTCTTTGTACCCACAGTTGAAGCTAATGTTGAGACTGAGACTTACGAAACTGTGAATCCCACTGGGAAAAAGACTTTTTGTACATTTGGAAAAGACAAGCGAGAGCACACTATTCTCATTGCTAATGTTAAACCTTATTTAAAAGCCAAACGTGCCCTGAGCCCTCTCCTCCAAGAGGTCCCCTCAGCATCAAACAGCCCGACCAAGGCATGCATCGAGCCTTGCACCTCAACAAAAGGCTCTCTGGATGGCTGTGAAGCAAAACCGGGAGCCCTGGCCGAAGCAAGCGGCCAATACTTGGCCACTGACAGTCAGTATCTGTCACCCAGTAAGCAACCAAGAGACCCTCCGTTCATGGCTTCCGATCAGATGGCAAGGGTCTTTGCAGATGTGCATTCTAGAGCCAGCCGGGATTCCAGCGAGATGGGTGCCGTTCTTGAGCAGCTCGACCACCCGACCAGGGATCTGGGCAGAGAATCGGTGGATGCGGAGGAAGTCGTGAGAGAAATCGATAAGCTTTTGCAGGACTGCCGGGGAAATGACCCTGTGGCTGTGAGAAAGTGAAAAAAAAAAAAAAAAAAAAAAAAAGCATTGGCATTTTCTTGTCTCTCCTGTTGATTTAAAAATGATCCCTCCTGGTGACAACCCGTTTTACAGGGATGAAGAAAGACCAATGCTGCTTTAAGGCTTTTAGTGAACATCTGAAGTGCCCACAAGTATGTTCTTTTCACTGCTGTTTCTTTTTCAGAGATAACAATGGTTTTGTTTTGACCAAACTTATATTAGGACAGAATTAACGATGCTGAAAGAGAAAAGAAAAAAGAGAGAAGAGAAAAGAAAGAAGAAAAAGGAGGATGAGGAAGCGAGTTACCTTTTGACAATCTGTTAGGAAGGTATGCAGTGTGAGAATTGAAGTATTTCTGATCACTCTTAAGACTGTCCTCCGTGATTTATGCTGACTTAACTATTTACCTATAAACCCCATACAAAGCAGGGTCATAATTTGTGATCTGTGGTGGATTTCTAGCAGTCATCGCAGGCTTCTACTTAAAGTCCCGAAAAGACCTTGCAGTAGTCCAAGCTACACCAAACATTAACACATATTTGTGGTAAACATTTCTGTATAAAGTTACCTGCCACACATACAAACACAAAGAACATTCCATATCATTAGTCGAAAAAAAAACCCACAAAAACAACAACAAAAAAAAAACCTTGGTCATTTGTAAGACACTTCATGTCGTATAAAAGTTAAATGTAAAAAGATATAGTCCATTTGTCCTGCACACACATAGACTGATTCACTTCATTAATGGAGAAGAAATTTTAAAAGGTTTAAAATGCCTCTTCAGCGTTTTAGTGTCCAACAAACATATAAATAATGATGGATATGTTTTAAATTTGACCTAAAAATAGTTACCATTGAATGATAATATGCAGAAGAAATTAACATGATTAATACATTTTTTTCATTTGTGGACACTAAAATAGCTCAGGAAAGTGAAACTGTCTTAGGCATACACCAATCATATGACCATTTAAATGTGCAAATGTAAGAAGATTCAATGTGTTTACATCAAATGACATATTTTTATTGATTTATTGCAGATTCAGTGCATATGAGCCAAATTGTTGAGTGTATAAGAGCTATATTGTGTATTTTATTAAATTAATATATAGTTGTGTTGCAAAAATATTTGGGCTTATATTGTAAATGGCAAGTGTTGCCTCGGTAGCTGTCGAACTCTATGAGTTTTGTTTTTTCCTGCTTCCTTTTCCCCATGGAGTGTGGGAAGCAGTGCCTCAGAGCAGAGTCTCTTGTTTAATGTATAGTCTACCAAGTACTACAGTACATAATCTGTTCAAAATGTGTTTGAGTGAGCCAATGGAGCTAACTGAAAGGTCAAAAAAGACATCCGTCAGTCATGGTTATGTGCAAGTCCTTGTAGAAGCTTTTATTAAAGTCACGCTAAATCACAAGAGTTACATTTGTACCGATACCTGAAACTTGTTCATGTTTTTTCAATAACATCCAGCTTCTGCCTATGTAGATATCATAACGTTGATTGGTTTCTCAAAAGTATCTTAAGTGGTTCAAGATGTGTGTTCCCATTATATTTCAAAACCATGAGAAATGCTTTAATGCATGTGTGGTACCAGCACTGGTTCCTTGCATTGTGTAGTGTGTTTCAAGAGGTCTGGGTCTTAACAAAATGTTTTTCCTTTTTCTCAATACTCTTCTGCCTCTTTTTATTGGTGTCCTTTGAGAACAATACACCTTCTCTTCCTTCATCTGGTTACACCTTTTCTTGTGACATTTAGCAAGTTTCAAACTTACTTCCATATGAGGCTAGGAAACCTCAAATTTCAGGAATTGGGAAAAACAAAATTAGCACTTGCAGAAGTAGCAGCAGATGGGAAAATGCCTTGATTGACATTTTCCTTCAGCGTTTAAAATTTTTGGCATTTTACAGCTTCATGACAAACAGTTTCCAGCCCATACCTTAGAAAATGTGGTGCTGAGTTAATAAAGGCTGTTTGTGCACTGGAGCAGAAAAATGCGTTATTTGCAAACTGGTGGAGAATTCTGTGCCTTCTTTTCTGGCCACCAAGCCAGTGTAGAAACAGCAAAAATGTCATAAAATCATTATATTAAAAACAAAAACAAAAGCAAAAACAAACATTGAACTGAATTAAGTTTTGTAATTTTAAACCTCAAAAAATTCAACTGAAAATATTTCTGTCAAATGTCGTCAAGATTTTAGACTGTACCTCGTTTGCAAAACAGCTCTGAAAGGGAAGAGTGGACAACTCCCATCAGCCTTATTCTCTCGAGAACTGTATTTGGTTCCTAGTAACAGCCTTTCCAAAGCTCTACTCTTGGTTTTTATTACTCATAAATGTTTAAATTAGAAAAGAAGGGATCTTGTACACGTGAAACCTAATTGACTCTCTATATTTTGGACAATTTATGTATCTGAAATGTGTTGTCTCTGTTATATGATGTTATTTTTTTTGCCAGGAGACTACAGGTTGATTTAGCTTGATAGCTGAAATTTGATGGAAAACTAATTTCCATTTAGTCTTACCAAGTGTTTCCTCTCTCTGACTAGACAGATAGCCACGTAGTACAATCTAAGGCAGTGTGTAAATGAAATCAACAAAGAGAGTAGACTTTATTTTTAAAACATTCTTAACGCTGAGTAACCAATTGTTCAATTTATTATATGTGTCTGAAGACATTAAAACACTATAAGATTTTAAGAATTGGTTGTGCCAATGTGTGAGGGATTTACCTTTAGGCTCTCTGTCACTGGTGATTTACTAGCATTAGCTGTTTAACACATTACCTGTATTTAGTAGTGATTATTTATTTACAAGTTGGTGGTAATTCAGCAGTCAGGACTCTGAGCTTTTATAGTTGAGTTGAGGGAATCTTGCCTTTGTTCATTTGGCTGACGACTGCCTTTATCACAGACCTCTGGTGCTTGGCTTCCGTGGAAGTCTATGAGATGCCAAAATCACCCCTGTAGAGAGCAACTTGCTCTGAGGGGTGATGCATGATCAAACAGTGATATTTCAAGCAGTTTTGGCATAATTCAGAATATGGAAAAATTGTCTTAATTCACATCCTTCAAATACTAACCCCTCAAAAAATCCCACACATTCAAAAAAATAATGATTTGATAATACTTTGTCTTTTAGGTCCTTCAGTAACTGAAGTCAAGCACAGAATAAGAATTTATAGAAATTTTTGTAAGAAAGTCAAAAAGTTCTAAAAACTGTTCACTGGTGAACTAAAAACAATCAGTAACACAACAATCTTTTCATTAAATGTTAATGAAAGATCTTTTCATCAAAGTTAAAAGTAGTGAGAATCAGTGTTAGTTATACCTATACCAAAGTAAACATTAAAGAGACATATCATACAATTTTAAAGAATGCTTTCATATTATTTCTTAACCTTACATACTTATCCTTATTGCAGGCAATATATAAGGATTGGCTCACCACCCCCATGAATTAATTGAATTCCTGGTTAGGAAATCGACTTTGTTTCATTTTCCCAAGATCTTGTAAAACATGACTTCCCTTTAAAGTATATAGGCAGTGCTCGATATAAAAAATGACACCATAAAAAAAAAGTCATGAAGTAATAGAGCAGTATGCTTTATTTGAACTAGGTTAAAAGCTGTTTGTTGCCTAATGGAGTAGAAGTTGCTGAGGTCAACAAGTAGACTGAGGTCTGGCATAATATATGCCCACTCATTATTGTCTAATTATATTCTTTTGACAACAGACAGCATTTATCACAGCATTAATTCAAATGAGAGTTTTGGCTATCAAGATGTGTTGATTTGAAACATAATTGAATGAGACCTGATTAAAGTCTGACTTTCCTGGCCCCAGTGTTTTGCAGGTTGGCTATTCCCATGTATCAACCGCATCACTCCATAAGGTTCTTAGCTGCACCAAGCAATTGGTGAACAAGGACAACAACGACAAAAGCAGCATACATTGTATGGATTTATCTCAACGCTATTGTTTAATGGCTGTGTTTAATGTGACCTATCTGGAAAATGAGGACTCCAAATAAAAAGCTATTACTAATAGTGGTGTTTCCTTCCCTTGAATTCGTTAACACAGAAGTGGTGTGTTATACACTATGTACCACAGGGACGCTCCATCACAACTGTTCTGCTAGTTATTTGTTTACCAGTAAAATAAGATTTCTTAAAAATTTATTTAACAATAACATCACTACGTCTCAACAAGTTAACAGTCTTTCAGATAGCTTCGATAAGGTGACTGGTCAAATAATTACCATGGAGTCATGATCTAGACACTTGTGGCTTTTAATAGCTACAGTTTGTTTGAGAATAATTTAGTACAAGAATCAAAAGGACTTCAGAAAAGTCTTTTTTTAAATCTTTCTCATACATGATTGATGAAAACACATATTTATAAATTAACATTTTAAAGTCAATACATATTTATCACGGTATCTTAAAATAATAAGCCTCTCCTTCTACTCATTCAACAAACATCTACTGAATTGCTAGTATGTGTTTGCCCTTGGCTACTATGCCCCAGAAGTAGAGAGCAAACAGAGGAGTGGTCCCTGGGTCACAGTCTTGTGGGAGAAACAAATAGGTAAGTTCTAATACACCTTGCTCTTTATATGAATTGGATTGGGTTGTTTGCATCTTTCCTTGGTTTCTCCACATACCCCTTATTTCTACTTTCTCATTCTCAGTGAATGGCATTTCCTAAATATAAAAAATAAAAAAAAAAAAAGAAAGAAAAGAAAAAAAAACAACAATTTGCCCATTTGGATTTTTCTTTATCTTAATTTTCTTCTAACAGCATGTTACATATCAAAGAAGTGTGCACGGCTTTTCCACATTACAGAAGATCTTTACAGTTTAGGTTTTTGGGATAGACTAACTGGCTTATATATTTATTCTTTTTTTATTTTTAAAGATTTTATTTGTTTATTTGACAGACAGAAATCACAAGTAGGCAGAGAGGCAGGCAGAGAGAGAGGAGGAAGCAGGCTCCCTGCTGAGCAGAAAGCCCGATGTGGG